ACACACACACACACACACACACACACACACACACACACACACACACAGACTCAAATACATTTCAATCAATACCAAGGAAACAATGGGTTAATTTAAAATTACAGGGAAGATTTTATATCTTCAAAGTAATTTTGCCCATTTGTATGTGATGAACTTGAAAGGTTCACATGTTTTCACAGTTACTCTTCCACACATTCCTGGGAATATTTATTTGGAGCTGCCAAGATAATGATGCTATTGATGATGGCAATGATGATGTGACTGTTATTGTGGCTAATTCAGATGCTGAAGATGTTAGGTATTCAGAAATTGGGGATGAGGATGAGGATGAGGATGATGGCACCTAAGTTCAGGAGAGCTTGTGACCATTTCCCTTGACCAACATATGGTTCATACACCATACTGGCTATATAATCTCTGTCTACCTCAATTTCCTCATTTGAAAAATGGTGTTAATAAAAGTACCAACCTCCCAGGGTTTTTTTCAGGCACTTCCATGCCAGGGGGTCTTTCTAGAGAAATGTGGTTTGGGAATGTCATGTTGGCCCTTTCCCATCTCATCAGCAATCATCAAGATCATTCCAGATATGTGTTGACAATTATAGATAGTGTCATTAAAGAATTCAACTAGGTCACTCAATCAACAAATACTTATGAAAACTTATTCCTTGCAAGTCTCAAGGTCAGGTACAATGGGTTTGTGGTATAGAGGGGTTTGTATAAGGTAGAAGGAATGGGGGGTAAGCTAAATACAAAAATGAGTAAGGTTTGGTTGACATCATGCAGTTTGCAGCCTCATAGGAGAGACAAGGTCTATGCATAAGATCAAGCAAGCAAGCAATACTCATTTACGAAACAAGTATTGTGTTTCTTAGATAGCTTTAATTACTGAATGGACATTGCCTCAGTCAAACTGAGACCTGTTAAAGACCTTAGCTTCAGTCCCAAGGCCCATTGTAAGAGAGGTCAAGGCAAGGTTGTTTTTACAGTGTGATTGAAGGGAATATTGAACTCTAAGCAAAGAGGGACCTGATCCAATTTACCATCAGTACAAGTGAGCAATATAGGCAGTGGGGAGGGGCAATCTTCCAGATCCAAGATGAATGGGAGTGAGTTGGTGGAAGTAGGAACATTTGGGAATTGTGATGCTGACCAAAAAAGAAGAAGCTCAATCCCTAGGTAACCAGAAGTCAATTTATTTTTATGAGAATGTCATAAATTGGTAATTATTAAAGGAACTCTATAATTGCTTCTTAGAGATCCTGTGGAAAGTCTAGGATGGCAGTAAGTGTTGCTCAAAACCACAGATTTGAAAACCCTCCATAATGGTTTTGGAAAGGAAGATTCAGGGATAATTCTAAAGATTCTACTGGCCTCATAAGTGACTTTTGATTAGCATAAGATAGAAATCTAGTAATTGGGTCAAAGGGCTTGGGTCCAAATCTGACTTCTGATTCTTACTACTTTTTTGACTTTGGACAAGTCATTCTGACTCCTTGAACCTCCATGTCCTCATCTTTAAAATGAGGGAGCTGGATTACATGACCTTTGAGATCCCTTCCAAGTCTTTTTTTCTTTTCTTTTCTTTCTTTCTTTCTTTCTTTCTTTCTTTCTTTCTTTCTTTCTTTCTTTCTTTCTTTCTTTCTTTCTTTCTTTCTTTCTTTCTTTCCTTCTTTCTTTCTTTCTT